ATTTGCATTTGAATCTTAACTGCTTTACTTTCAGCTCTTGGTTAAAGACATTCAATCCCTCTGAGGCCAGAATAATGAAAAAAAAAAAAGGCCCATTCCATGTCTTTTTTTTGCATCACTTGAATGAAGAATGAAGAAAGGGGCAGTATTTCACTTTTTTTTTCCCCCTTGCTGTTGATGTTCTTGAGCTATGCCAGGCATTGCTCAGGGGACCGACTGGGGTGCTAGTGACTAAACCCAAGGCAAGCACTTTACCCACTGTACTACTGCTCCAGCCCCAGCCCCAGCCTTTTACTAGTCACTTGTACTTCCAGGACCTGACACATCCTATAAAAACCTATAAACGCGATAAGTAAAACATACCATGACGAATTTAAGAGCAGTAGAATTCATATTATAAGTGCTCCTGCTTCTTCTATAATTTAACCCCAAGGCCTGGGTTACCTTCAGTGCTGAGGGATCATTTGGGACGAACCAGGAATAGTTAGGAATGTATTACACTCCTGGGTTCTTTTTTTCAAAAGTCAAAAGCAAGGCACTTTAAAAATGAGGCCCTAGACATAGGACTTTATACTTGTACTTACATATATTAGCGACTGAAAGTTAATTTTATGATCTGACACCAGGCCAGCCCTAAACTAAGGAGTGAGCAAGTTCTTGTCTCACTATCAAAAGACATGAGTCACCATGGGTGGGGAATTCTGGTACTGACTATGTTGACGTCCGTTTAATAAAGACTGATCACACAGGGTCTATAAATCAGAGACAGAGGCTAATCTTGACACTTGACAGAGAAGAAAAGCTATAGAATGTTGATGGGCCAGAGCAATAGTAAAGCAGGTAGGGTGTTTGCTTTGCACGTGGCTGACCTGGGTTCGATCTCTGGCATGCCTCTGAGTACCACCAGGTAATTCCTAGGTGCAAAATCAGGAGTAACCCCTGGGCATTGGCAGGTGTGGCCCACACACACACACACACACACACACAAAGACTTAGAAAGTTAAATAGTATCTCTCTGAGCCATTTTGCTTCATTTTTCATGTTGAGGGGAACACTTGATCTTTTCATGTCACTGCACTTAATGTGTGAAGGGTATTTTGTTCCCTTTGCTCTCCAATCATCATCCCATCCTCCTTCAGCAAATACAGTTTTCAACTCTCCTCTTGGACTCAGGTCATCTATTCTTTTCTAAAAGTCTCTGGGGATGGCTAAGGGTTGTTCACAGTCACCGGAAGAAACTGTTATAAAGAACATACTTCTAAAAATTCTGCAGCTTGTCAGCTCACTGAAAAATGAAAAGGAGAAATCTGAAGTATTTTTTTGCTGAGCTTAAACACAATACATTGGTTTGCCTCGGAATATGTAAATCTGAAGAGTTCAGATGTCAAACTTTTCATGGATCTGCTGCTTGGTATAAGATCCCATGGGCAACAGAAATTTGTTAATTGTGTGTTCTGTGGTGGTCAGCAGCCAAATAAATTAAATACATTTAATTTTCCCCTCTATTGTCATAAGTAATTCGAAATGAAATATCATGACTAGCTCTTCCTCCACCTAAATTTTGTGTTCTGCTAAAATTTTCCCCTTTTGACAGAGAGAGTAAGAGGGAATGTGCCAGCCACAGAGGCAGGGGGTGGGAAGGGGTGCGGATGGGGGGAGGGATACTGGAAACATTGGTGATGGAGAATGGGCACTAGTGGAGGGATGGCTACTTGAACACTGTTTTGACTGGAACACAATCATGAAAGTTTGTAAGTCTATAAATGAATCTCACGGTGATTCATTATAATTAAAAAAAAAAAATTTCCCCCGTTGGCAGGGTGGTGGGGTGGGGAGTGGGTTTGGGTCATAACCCATTAGTGCTTAAGGAATATTCCTAGTTCTGTGCTCAGGAATGACCATTGGAGGTGCTTGAGGGAATGTAAGTGGCTCTGGAGAATAAATTGGAGTAGGCCAAGTGCACGTAAGCACCCTTCCTTCTGGATTCTCTCTCTGGCCCCTCAAATTTCCGTCAGGTATACCACTTAGTTTCGCAATTCGAAACAGGCAGTCGAGTGAAAACATTCTTGATCTTGAAATCAAGACAATGTTCAGGAAGCTAGAAAATGAACCTGCACAGAAGATGAACCTTGTCTCAAAGTCAACTTGCAAAACTTCTAATAAAGGGCAAAGTGAAGGACTGGGGAGAGAATATTGTATAAGGTGCTTGTTTTGCACACTGCTGACCCAGGTTCGATCCCTGGCACGGCCTTTGGTCCCCGGAGCATAGCGCCAGAAATAAGTCCTGAGCAGCACTGGGTGTGGCCCCCAAACAAAAGGCACATTTATAAATGATTGCCGCGAACAAAACATTTAAAACTGAAACATTAAGAACTGTCAAATAATCTCCACTAGCTGGTATTAGAGTTGTCAACGTGTGAAACACCTAAAAGGAATTTTCAAGTAGCAAAAAATTACATACCATATTTATTATTTCAACTCATGTTACAAATGTAAAATAAAATTTTCTTTCATCAAGGAAGACAGAACACATTTCAGACAGATGTCATCACAAATAGCTTAAAAAGAGAAAATCATGCAATCATACACAAATGTGTTCTAAAGAGCTACTAAACAGAAAACCAAATAAGAATGTACAATGTAGAAAGACTTCATATAAAGTCTCTCTCTCTCTCTCTCTCTCTCTCTCTCTCTCTCTCTCTTTCTTTCTCTCTGTCTCTTTCTGTTTTGGGCCATATCTGGGGGTACTCAGGGCTTACTCCTGACTTTGTGCTCAGGGGTCACTCACTCCTGGTGGACTTTGGGAATCATATTTGGTGAAGAGGATGGAACCCAGACTGGGTGCATGCCAGCTAAGCAGCTTATCTGTGGTACTATCTCTCCAGCCCCACTTGTCTCTTTCAGGTAGCAATCACCTTCAACATTCAACACCATCCTTTCTCAGCTACGCAACAGAACACAGGAAAGCAGCAACAGGATGTAGATAGGGTGAATAAAACAGAACCCGAGGATTATGAAAGAACGGTGAGTGGCATAAGAGTGATGAATCAAGTCCAGTGTCCTTCCCTTGAGATCAGCCAGGAATAAAACTGCCAGGCATTAATCTAGCAATATCTTCTCTTGATTTTTATTGATGCTTTACTGATGTTTAATCTAAGCCTGTTCACTAATCTTCTGACCAAATAAAAAATCAGAAGCCTGTCTCCCTGAGACTGGGGTGGACAGCATATCATCTTAGAACCCTGCCTGGCCAGTGAAAGCTGCCGAGTTCTGTTTCTAGGGCGGATCCTGGAGCTCCACTGCTCAAATCGGGTTTCTCTGCTGCCTGGGATCCCGATGAGGGAAATGACATCTGGCTGCGTTGCAGTCAGCTCTGTGGAAGAACCGTAACGAAAAGGGTGCCACTCCCGGTGAACATTGCTGAAAGCTTTTCCAGCACCAAGGTTAGGCCCTGGTTAAGTACCTATATGAGCACTGTGGCAACCCCTGGCAAGCACCACAATTAAAGAATGTGACCCCCAGTAAGCTCATGTGCAAGCATTACCATGAAGGTATCAGGGCTAAGTATGTGAGCACCACAGCCTGATGAGTACCAATATGCAAACACCACGACTACATATGTGAGCACCATGGCCAGGCTTACGTGCGGCCTTTGGACATACGAACATCGAGGGAGGGAAGAGTCTTGCTTCGGAGCTGAAGATCGTATAGCAGTTAAAGGACTACCTGGTGCCACACATGATGATAAGAATGACACATGCAGATGAGCACTGTCAGGAGTGAAACCTGAGGCACAGAGCCAGGAGTAAGCCTTGAACATCGCTTGCTTTAAATGCTATTAATCCCAGTTCAATCCCCAGTACCACATCTGGTCTCCCAAGAGTAACCTCTGAGCAAAGAGGCAGGGATACCCCTGAGTACTGCTGTGTTTGGGCTCCAAACTCCAAAAGTCACACTCCTCCCCCCCAAAATCCGAAAAAAAAAAAAAACAAAATTAGACTCTTTATAAATCTTTTTTTTTTAGAGATAGTCCATAATAAATGCTTGTGAGTGGGAAATATTGTCAGTGGGATAGAGTTTTAGTTTTTCAAAATCTTATCAATAGCATACAGAATTTTACAAACAAGATTTCTCTTCTCTGCCTACTGTGATGTCTAAAAACGGATGCATTATTTATGTAAGAATGGGAAAGAAAATGATGAACCTCGTTTTTCAGTGTATTTGCTTTCACAGATACCAAGAGTTTCACAAAAGCTGAGATCCAGCATAACACTGTCCTCCCGCTGTTCATCGATTTGCTCGAGCGGGTACCAGTAATGTCTCCATCGTGAGGCTTGTTGTTACTGTTTTTGGCATATCGGATATGCCACGGGGAGTTTGCCAAGCTCTGCCACGTGGGCGGGATACTCTCGGTAGCTTGCCGGGCTCTCCGAGAGGGGTGGAGGAATCGAACCCTGGTAAGCTGTGTCCAAGGCAGACGCCCTACCCGCTGTGATATCGCTCCACCAGCATACAAAGTAAAATTCTAACTGGGAGAGGCTAGGAAGATAGTCTAGTGGACTGGGCACCGCTCCACCTGGCTTCAGTCCCTGGCATCACAGCCCTGATCACCATTAAGTAAGGCCCCCCAAACAAAACAAATCTGATTTGGAGGACTTCTTTCTCTATTAGCTTATTATTTGTTTAGACACATTCTTTAAAATTGAGAACGGAGGGGCTGGAGAAATAGTACAGTGGGAATGGTGTTTGCCTTGAGCAAAGCCAAGCCCTGTTGGATTTCTAACACCCCATATGGCCCCCCCCAAGCACAGTCAGGAGTGATCCCTGAGCAAAGAGCCATGAACAAACCCTGCGCACCATCAGGGGTGGCTCAAACCACGCTTGCCAAAGAAGAACATGAAACAACAAATGATGATACATATCTTACTGCTATAATATAGGATGTCTTCTGTTTACAATACTATTAACAATGATTTCTCATGGACATAATTCCAACCTACCATTTTTTAGGCTTTGATAATGGCTTGTATTTGCTGTATTTGACACGCCATTCCAGGACTTCTTTGCAGTGATGACATACTCCATCGTGAACCTTTGAGTTAATTTTCTGAAAAACAGAAGTAGAGACCATGAGCCAACACAGTCAGACCCAAGCAAAGCAGTCATTCCAGCCTTCTGAGCCATCTCCCTAGACTGCCTTTTGTATTCGTATACAAAGGAAAATGCTTTAGAAAAGTTATCCTTACTACCCTGGTTTTTTGAAAACAAAAAAATATCAGTTTCTTTTGTTGTTGTTGTTTGTTTGGTGCCACACCTGGTGATGCCCAGAGCTTACTCCTGGCACTCAGGGATCACTCCTGGTAGAGCTTGGGGACCAAATGGGATACTGGGCATGGAACTAGGTCAGCCACATGCAAAGCAAGTGCCCTACCCACTTACGATGACTTGGGCCCTGAGAAAAAATCTTTTCACCCTAATCCTTTTCTCAAAACATGCCGGGAAATGGAGAGAATGAGAACAATTTAAATCTTGGTGTTTTCTACAGTAGCTTTATATTTTAAATATATTCTTTGGATTTAGGACCAGGACTAAATATTTCTAAATATTTCCAAAAAGTACTCTGTGGGAACTTGGTCTTTGCCTCTTGTTGATATAATGCCTATACTGAAAACATTTTAATTTTTCTTTGCTTCCTTTTTTTTTTTTCTTGTTTTTAGCTTGGGCTGGGGGAGAAGCATCACAAAAGACAATTCTTTGATATTGAGTTAAAAGAATGATATTCACAGATTATCTGAAAGAAAATAAAACCTTCCATCATTCTTGTGACTCCTTAGTGTTCCATACAAGTAACATAGTTTAGTTAGATATTTATTCAAAGAGAAAAAAACTTTCAAAATTAGACTATGAATGATATTTTTGAGTTTAGCACCGTGGGGAAAAAGACTGTTACCTATGAACTTTTTATGGGTCTTCTCTCTCTTTTTTTTTTTTTCTGACCTTGATGGAGTCTCTGGGACAACACACTCTGCATATTACTATATTCTTGCATACAAGTCTAACTGTTGTCCAAGTGCAGATTTGTGTGTCTGGGAATGTGCCTACACACCAAACTATTCCTCCTGAGTCAGGGAAACATATGGTGCCAGGAATGAAACCTGGGTTGACCACATGGAAGGCAACTTGCCTCAACTATCTCTCCAACCACATTTTTTCACTTTTGAATTGCGAAGAAGTGCCCAGAACTAAAGTTCACACATCATCAAATGATTTCACTGGCCTCTACTGCCTGCAGTATCTTACTAAAGGTGTTACGCATATTTTCCTAATTCAACAAGAACGGGAGTAAGCTAATGGCTTGAACGATGACTGCAATATGAATGCAATATAAACTTTCTATTTAGAATGTTCTTAGAATGCAGATCATTTCATTACATCCGATTTTATTCTGCATAAAAGACACTCTGCTTGTTAACTAGGAAGCATTTTGGTTTCTTGATTGCGGCTGTGTCCAATTTCGGACCAGTTCGGCTTGATTTACAAAGCTGTACATAGTTTGAAAACTGGTTTCTTTAGGGTGGATCAACAGTAGAACAAAACAGGTCTTTGTGGAAACTTGTCCCGTGAAGGATGTGAAGGGCAGCGTAAATGAAGACGCTACACAGAGTTCACATGACTAATAGCACTACTACAGAATTAACTTTGATTAAGAAATGAATGAGATGCAGCATGCAAATGCACGGTACTTTTACTTCAGATCATAAGAAATAAAGAAAATCATGAACCACATTTTACAGTATTTTGGCAAAATAGGAAAAGTGGATTCCAGAAAAGTGAGTAATGAAAGTTAAATCCTAGTTCTAGGAATCATTTCGCCCGGAGCAAAGGAGATGGCGATCTCAGTTGTGTTTACAACTAAGTCTGCTTCGGCAATTAATTTTAGCATATTCCTCACGGTGGACAATCATAGGTTACGGTTAAGCAAGTCCAAATATAAACTCAAAACTTAATGTTATAAATATCAAAAGACTTTAAAGGTGATTTATTTTAGCAAGCAAAGAAATTAGGTCTTTAGGAGAAAGAAGTCTCCAGTGGAAGATTCTACTGAATTTTACAGCCATAGCTAAAGAAGAAAACCTTCTTAATCGGGTGAATACTTGATTTAAAAAGTTGAAAAACAAAAAGCGTTAGAGAGATAGTACAGGGGTTAAGGTGCTTAACTTGCAACGCAGCTGATCCTGACTCGATCTCCAGCACCACATAAGGTCTCCTGAGCACTGACAAGAGTGATTCCTGAGCACAGATCCAAGAATAAGACCTGAGCACAGCTGGGTATGACCCGGACAATATCTCCTGCCCTCTAACCTCACTAAAAAAAAGGAGAGAAAATTGCAAGTAGTGGACCCAGCCCACAGTCACAACCACTTCATTTAGAGTTGGGGGCTAGAGAGAGTACAGAAATTCAAGAATTAGGCTCTAGCTTTGCATGTGGCCAACCGCAGTTTGATCCTTGGCACCCATGCTGCCAGGGGTGATCTCTGAGTACAGACAGGAGTAAGCCTTGAGTACCACCAATGTGGAGCTACCCACCCCCACCCCCATTGCCCCCATAAAAAAAAAAAAAAGGCAGGGCTCAGGACATGGCTCAAAGGCTGGAGCAAATGCTTCACAATTGGGAGACTGGGTTTAATCCCCAGCACTAAATCCCCCCCCCCCCCCCCCCCCCAGGTACTGCCAGGAGGGACCCGGGAGCACTGGGAGCAGCTTCTGAGTACTGCTGGGCATAGCCCTAAAACAAATGAGATTTGAACATTTTTTTAGCAGCCTGTAAAACATCATCAGCCTTCTTCCTACCTGACACAGTATCTATAGAATTAAAAAAGAGTCCAGCTCCTTAGAAGCAGCAAACATATCTCAGGAATTCATTCCCTTTTAGTGGTGAACAGTATTCCACTGTGTGGATATCCTCTAATGTTTATTCATTCACCCTCGGAAGTACATTCTGACTTGTTGCTAGCTTGGAGTAATGATGAGCATTTGCGATTTTGTGTGTGGACACATTTTCATTTCTCTTAGGTTAGCATTTATAAATGGTATTGTTGAGTGGGTATTATTGTATTATTGTATTATTGTATAATCTTCTGCCTTCACTTCGTAAGAAACTAATGGTTCTGGGCTTGGAATAGCGGTCAGAGGGCTGGAGCACTCGCTTTGCATGCAGCTCTGGGGTCAAGCCCCAGCAAGCCTGAGCCTCCCACTACCAGAGGGAGAAAAAGAAAAGAGCCCAAAGCATAAAGAACCTTTAAAGGAATAGAAATGGCATAGTCTTTATCGTTTTTAAAAGAGGGGTAAAAAATACACTTCTTATAATCAAGTTCATATCACACTTATGGGCACTCAGCACACTACCACTATACAAGTAAGGGTACGAATACGTTTACTGACATAAGACTTTCAAACCTAGGAACTCTGTTTTTTGGGCCACACCCGGCAGTGCTCGGGTATGGCCCAAAATGTGTGGTGTTGGGGATCGCAGCTGGGTCAGCTACATGTAAGCCATGCATGCGAACTGCATGCAAGCCTTACCTGCTGTACAAACTCTATTTTAATGTAATAAATAATTGTAAGAATGTCTACTTCTCTCAGAAATACCGTATTTGGATAAGTGACTGAGTCTTACTATTTTTATATATTTTATTATTAAAAAAATTGAACTAGTCATATAAATAGCCCAGAAATACTTTTGAAGTGAGTTCTAGGAGTATTTTGGCTTACAGTTATTTAATAACATATATAGCTCTAAAACTACTATGGATTTCCTTCTTTTTAAAAACTTACACCCAAAGTTTTCTAAAATTAAGTGTTCTTAACAACTACTAATATTTGTGTTTTTCACAAAAAATTCAGCTCAAGTATCTTTCCAGCAAATTATCCAAAGATTCTAAAATATCTGATGTGTATATGCATGTACATACATGTACATGATTAAACAGTATTTAATTTTGCCCTATGTAAAATTTTAATTCAAGACCTGAAAGAACAATGAAATCTATTTCTACTCTAAGCTAAAATTTTCTTCCCTAAGTCACCAGAAGTGAAAAATATATATTAGATATAATCAAAGTGTTCTTGTTCAAGATCCTTACAATCAAGCTCTTTCTAGACAAGAAATAATATTTGATTCCCTTTCCCACTTTCTTTGTTCCTGCTGGAATCTTTAATAAATGACATCTGTGAAAATAAACAATTGCATTTTTATCCAGATACTGAATATTAAATGAGCTCTGGTCATCCCGAACAGAGGACTATTCTCCCAGTAAGTGGGCAGGGCTATTGTCAGTTCCAATCACACAGAGAGAGTCTATGTACCAACGACCCATACCACCTACTGACTTCTCTCAGCCATCAGCAAACTACCCAGAATTTCCCGACAAGCAATGGAGACGGAAATGAAGCCACACCCATCTACAGGCAGAAACATGCATCTGTCGCATCTTCTGGCAGCAGAGAAACCTGTAAGGGATGCACCTTATTCCCAAAGTAAAGCACGCATACTTTTCTATTCTTTCCATTCCCTTTATTGCTCATGCCGTGATGACTGGAAGACACATGCTTGGTTGTGGTACCTGTGCACCGAACTACAGGAAACTTGGTAGCACACTCGGTTCAGGAAGCACCAGAGCCGGGGGAACCCTGCTCACGTCATGTGAGCAGCACCAGGGATAAAACTCTCAGCCTCATGCTTATAAGGTGCGTGCTTTTGCACCCTGATGTGCATATGTGTATATGTATACTCTTACCCTGTCTCTACTCTGCCTATGACCCCTTTTGCGCTGCATTTGCAGGCTAAAGTTCAATTCTTTAAACTCTGGCTTTGTTTCCTAAGAAATCCTCCACAGTTCTCGGTCAACTCAGAAGACAAACAGAATGCCTACTAAGATCAGACATACATTAAATACTCGAGATCAAGTTTGGAAAGGTTGCGTCAAGAAAATAGCTCAGTTTGTTGGAGCATATGTTTTGCGTGCAGGTACTGGGGGAGCTGGGTTGCTTTTTTTTTTTTTTTAAATCTTTATAGTATGACAGAGGTACACAAAAGATGCCCCAAGA